TCAGCACTTTAGTTTGTATGTCCTAAATAATGACAGAGGAACAGTTCTGCCTATGGAACTGTACTACACGTAGTATGAAGCAACTTCTGTTCCCTTATAAAACAGTCTTTCAAATCTTGATTTATTTTCCCTGGCACTTTTTCATACTGTGCATGTGATGGGGTCTCATACGGAGTGACCTGATGGAAGTATCAGGGAAGATTTACTGGGTTTCTTACAACATCCCGGTGATGGATTGATATAATCAGCAAAGAAACAGTATCAGAGAAAGACACTGTTATTGACAGATAAAATCCTTAATTTCACAAGAGGTTCTCAGAAATGACACTGTGAGGTTAGGGATGGTCTGTTTATCTGTAAGCTAAGAACTTTTCTCTTGTTTTATTGTTGTCATTTCAAATCTGAGGCTGTTTCTGAGGTTCTAAAGTGCAGCCTGTTCTGAGGGAAATGTCACTGGTCTTTCCTGTCCTGCCTGGAAGCGAGAGACCGAGCCATGCTTCAGCTACGCCGGACTCTCAGGGGTGGAGAGCAGAGGCCACGCTCTGTGCTCACAGATCTTAAGCGTGCAGACAGCAAAGGCAGAGAATGGAAATAATCCCCCAAGTCCCTCCAGGTTTCTGCCGCTTTTTGAGAAGCCACTAAACCGTGAGTGCAGGGGAACAGCATCAGAACCAACTCCATTCTGTTCACTGGTTAGTTGCATTCCAACATTTTAGTGCAACTTGAACTAGAAAGGAGAATAGGAGATGTCAAGCAGGATGCATTTTTCGTTTTATTTTTAAGATTTGGATTGAAAAAAAAAAAAAAGGGCAGGAGATTCTTGCCTAAGTAATTTTTAGTAATTTATTACTTTGTTCTTACAAAGCAAAATATATTAATAAAGTGCATCAGCTCTTCCCTTGGTGCAGGGAAACCAGCACCATGCATTTTTGTTTTCTAATCCAGATTTACCGTTGGATCTCTCTAAGCCTCAACAGAAACAAGCTAGGGTTTGTCTGGAAAGCTCACACTCAGTTACTAAATCAGTTTAAAACGTATTTAGTAATACCAAGTGAAGCCTCTCCTCCACAGTGGAACTGAAAGAGGATAAAGTGCATCTTAAATCAAGACAGATTAATTTAGCTCTAAGCTAAATAATTGTCTGAATGATTTTGGATTTTAATAGCACTGAACATTTTCTAGTATTGACCAAGTTTGAAAGTAAAGTCTTAAAAAATGGCATCCCTGCCTTTTTGTGTCTCACCTTGGCTCTGCTCTGCAATCCAAAGACTTCCTCCTAAGAGGAAAGGCTGAGAGAGTTGGGGTTGTTCAGAGAAGAACCTGGAGAAGAGAAGGCTCTGGGGAGACCTTATTGTGGCCTTTCAGTACTTACAGGGGCCTTTAAGAAAGATGGGGCAAGACTTTTTAATAGGGCCTGTAGTGACAGGACAAGGGGAGATGGTTTTAAACTAAAAGGGGAGACTCAGACTATAGATATAAGGAAGAAATGTTTTACAGTGAGGGTGGTGAAACACTGGCCCAGGTTGCCCAGAGAGGTGGCAGAAGCCCCGTTCCTGGAAACATTCATGGTCAGGCTGGATGGGGCTCTGAGCAACCTGATCTGGTTGAAGATGTCCCTGCTGACTGCAGGGGGGTTGGACTAGATGAGCTTTAAAGGTCCCTTCCAACCCAAACCATCCTATGAGTCTGTGATTCAAACTGTCCTCCACTCTTAAGCACGGCGTGCGGTATACCAGACACCACATTCCTGCCCCAAAATTAGGAATAATCTGTCCAAAACTGGGTTTTGTATGCATTATTATTTAAACAATTAAAGAATTTAAAAGTGATTAATATCTGTTACATCTTTTTTTCTGGAGATTGTCTCCAGACCATACAAAGTGCTAGACAGAAAATGTTACCATATATCCATCCCATTTCTAATACACAGCTGCCATTAAAAAATGAATAAGATATTGGGATGCATCTGGAACATGACAGAGAATGACACAAGAAAACACAACGACAGTTTATAAATCAAGTGAATGGTGTAATCTGGAATTTTGTGTGCACTGTTGGTTATCCCATCCCAAAATGGGTATTACAGAGTCAGAGAAGTTTCAAAGGCTGTAACATGAACAGTTCTCCAAAAGCAGGTTAAGCCAAAGCAGACCATGTAAGAGTCTCTGTGCATATTCTTCTCATCAAACATCATCTGAAAGTTGCACATGCAAAATCTAACAAGGAAAGTATTTTTTCAAAAAGGTACGGGATTTGCAACTCATGATACGTGATGATGCTGAAGCCAAGAATAAAATAAATACGAAAATTAGGGAAAGGGCTAAATAGTTACATGGACAGAAAGAGGTTTGAGAGTGAAAACAGCAAAGTGAAAGGTTCCCCACTCTAATCTCTAGAATCAGTGGAGGGATATGGGAGCCCTCACAGGGTAAGGCACATTACAATTAAACTGATGGCCTTAAGAGCTCCTCTTTCTCTCTGCTGGCTAAACAAAGAACCTGAGATTGCCACATCTCTGATTCAGGATCCTCTACTGGAGTTCAAAAGTTGTGAATCTAGATCTTATTTTCAGCAGAAGGGAATGGAAGTATCTTCTTCTCTTCCTATAAAATGTATAGAACAGTCTAAGGTCCCTGAAAGGGGCCAGCTCTTGTTCAAACCACAATAAAGAAAGAGAAGATAGAGAAGAAGGAATAAAACCAAGATTAAATACTAGAAAATATAATTAAAACAGTTTGACATTTCAAATTCAAGCTTTTGCTCCACTCATACATCACCACATTATTTGTTATAATCACACAGTGCATGATAATACACAGCCTCATCAACCTTCCTGCAGCTCCTGAAGAGCTGGAAGACCTTATTGCTGCGTGATTTTGTCTGCTAGGGCGCTCACTTGGCTTTAGCAAAGCTCATGCACCTGCATTCTGCTGAAGCCAAGGCAAACTTTTAAAAGAGAACAAATGGGTAAAGGCTGACTTTCAGCAGGGCTGCTGCCCCTGCACGTGAAATTAATAGGAGTTATTTTGCTGAATAACTCTGGAAAAAAAAGTCATGCTTTAGCAAACAATGCACTAAATCATTTCACTTTATTTGTTGCTTGGTGGTTTTTTTTTCATCTTTCATGGTGGCAAATCAGCCCCATAAGCTATTCTGGTTTAAATCTTGTATTATATGACATAAGTAGCACCATATTTATTAGAAGTATTCTTACCTGTAATTAAATCATGATGACCTACAGTTCTACCACATTTCCCATCCAAAATGTGTTGTGAAGATGTGTGGAGTTGTTGTATAGCTAAGCATTCACTTAGTACATCTTGTTCGATATCAGTACATGAATTTAGCTACAAGAGGAGGATAAAACAAACATTTTATTTCAAAGTAAACCAAATTACTTTTAATTAAATTAATGTCTCTTTGCTTAAAGATCAGGTATAGAAGGAAGGAACAAAATGTCGTTCTTAGGAACTTGGTGTAATTATCTATTACTTGGTATTTTTAATTAGAGATAATACTGGTTTTTTTAGGAGTGCACAAGTTAAGTGTGCTAATCTTAAATCAACAACAGTTTGTGTCAGAAAATAATGTACCCTGGGTTTCTTCAAACCTTCCTGAGTAATTTAACTGCATATTTTCAGGCTTTCCATAGTTTCTTGGGTTCTGCAGCAAAAGGGTTGCATCACCTTGTAGCTGTGACACTTGGACAGACATTTGATAGGGAAAGAAAAGCATTTGTGCTTATCTGATTAGAACTGGTGGAATAACAGGCTGTCAGTAAAGTGTAAGAGGTATCACCGATATGTCAGCTGTTCTCCATGTAAATTAAAGCTCTGGCAAAAGTGTCTGAAGCAAACTTTTGAAAACCACAATGTCGATCATATTAAAAACAGCAGGAGAGGAGAATTAAGAAAGAAAAGCATTTCTAATTCTCTTTCAAACATGCTGATGTTGCCAAGCTTTTGTCATAATACAGTGCTCACATTACACAAACAGCCATCCCATTCTATAGCCATTAATAACTAGTTATTGTCTTTACGTTTACAGTTTTGCATACCAGTCTCCCCTGGGTTTGGTTATTCTAACTCAAAGGTCCACGCAAACCTATTTAGAATCCTGCCATGCAGCCATTTGTTGGTTGAAGATAAACATCTAACATTTGGATCACAAAGTGCATCTGCAGCCAATTAAACTACTACTAAATTAACAGCTCGCTTTCTCCTATTTTGTTCTTGTAAAGTCTTTCAGAACAACCACATATTACCACTGCAGTCATCTTCCAGGCTAGGAACTAAATATTCAGGATTCCTTTGATGTAAGTCTAAACTCAGGTATTTTATTTTATATCAGAGATGGCACATTTTGGTAGCTTATCTCAATGAAGACATGTGGGCAGAGCAGCCTGTTAATTTTTCTTTCTTGGCTAAGTCATTTCCACTCAGAGCTCCTGTGAAGCTGATACCAACAGACAACTGCCTTTGCCGAGTTACAACCAAAAATGAGCAAGTGAGTATAAACAGTCTTTTCCTCTTTTTTCCAGACTGTCACCATTTCAGTAACACTGAGATTGACTTAGTTGTGAAAGGGTTGTTTTGTTGGTTTGCTTTTTTTTTTTCCTATAATAGGTTTAAGTTAAGTATTTGGGGGGGTTTATTATTTCTTTATGAGTCAGATTTTCTATGGTCCTTTTTAAGAGAGACGGATCAAAATGCACTTTAAATCTGCTGCTTTTTCAGATGCCTTTTAAGTTCAAGGAAAAAAGACACAGGATCAAGTATTCATAAATGGGTAAATGAGACAGGAAATCTGAAAATGATTTCAAACCACTGGAGGAGTGCAGATTTAGATTGGTCTACCAAATAAGGTGTGGGAGGCAAGGAACTAACATCTTAAGACAGACTTGGTAAGTCTATGGGAAGGTATGTATATGCATGCAGGAAAATTCCTCAAGCTAGGAGATTAAGAGATATAAAACCCTGGGTAGTTGATGTCTTGGTACATCCAAGCAGCTTGTGTTTGCAGCTTGTGTGTACCACGTTTGTCCTGTATAGATTCTACACTTAAGGCCTCCTGCTGCTTATGCAGGAAGTACTTTGTGCCCCTTAATGCAAAGTCTGGATTTAGGTTTTTTTCCCACCCTCCTCCGTAAAACTGGAAATAGACCTGAGCAGGTGACAGGGTGGAACAGTGGGGACTGGTGCTTTGTTCAGATGTAAAGGATGTTAATAAGTACACAGAGCTGAACAAATGATACCAATATTTGGTATTAGGAAACAATTCCCTCCTTCCTCCTCCTAAGAACTATGTCAGCAACCACAGGAAGGAAAGATGGAGGGGTTCTCTCCTTTGGAATAGAGCATGGTTGCTTTCAACCATCAGCTGAGAATTTCATATAACAAAATCTCCCTGTCATAAAGGTCCTGCTATTGCAAAAGACTTTGGTGCCACAGTCAGCCCCTTTCTGTGGCCAATTACTGCTATGGCTTTCTGACTCTTACTCTCCTTAAGACCTAAAGGTTGCTCTAGGGAAGTGGTGGGAATCTGGTGATCTGTGGTGTGGGTGAAATATACACAGCACACTGTGGAACCTTCTAGAGAGCTGTAGTGAAACAACATGGCCTGATAATACAAAATTGGGCTTGAAAACTAGGGGGTCCTTTCCAGTCCTGCCAGGCTAAATAAGAGTTCTGCCAGGACCTGATATATGGAGAGACAACAACTTGATCCTGTGGACATCTGGATGGGTGCTGGGTATGAACAGTGTTACTCCCAGGCACAAAGCTCCACGAGTAATGAGTGTTTCTTGACTGACTATATGAAATAGTGTGCACAACCCTGGCCACTAATTTTCTAGAAACTGCTCCTCAGACAGCATGCACCTGATGCAGAGAAGGGTTACAGGAAGAACTGAGGGACAGACTGTCTTAGGAAAGGGGACCATAAGTTCAGACTGGTGAATCTAGCCAAGTGAAAACTGTAGGGGATATAATTCATGCTGAGAAGTAGCAGGAGGGATGGGGTGTAAGACAAGGGGCATGGCTGATACAAGGACAAATCAGTATGAAATCACAGTTGTATTCACTCAGGAGAATGAGGCCTTTTTGACATTCATTTCACTCCTCCATGGCTCATCCTGAATTCTGAAACTAAGATCACCTGGATTCTGCTATTGTCTCCTCTCTCTACATGTTCCTCTCTTTGCTCTCCAGTACTTCTAGTTCTTACCTTTGACATTTTCCCAAACTAGCTGCTCCCTAGCTCTGTCTTGCCAGGCTGTCACTTCTGCTCTGTCCTCCATCCTTTACACATGCCTTGCTGTCTCATCTGTGATGCTCTTGGCAGTGGCGGGGCAGCTGGGGGAAGATGTCATTGCTGCTTATTGAACTAATTGTAATTCCTTGCAAAGGATTGCATTCCCTGCCACTCCTGGGCCTGAAGTATGCTCATGGTCTGTTCTGTCACAGACCAGCTCTGTGGGATCCCAATCATCTTTTTACAATCTGTGTGTACAAATGTGTAATAAACAAGTCTCTGGTGCTGGGCTGGTACCCGTAAGCAACCCCATTTAATAATGAGTTCGGGATTTAGCCCACAGAAACCAAAATACTTATTTGAATCTAATGGTAGTGAAAACATAACTAGCAGTTTGGGTTTGGAATGATTTATAAATGCGTTTAAAATACAGATGTGGTGGGAAAAGTGGGGGGTTTTCATTCTCATCTATTACAAGCGCTCCTTTCCTAACATTTCCATGGTATCCTGGCTTAGTTTCATTTGTGTTTTAGATAATCTGCCAACATGTATTTACTAGCTGGATGCAGAGACTCAATGCATGGACATTTTATGTGAGTGACAGCACAATTTGGACTTGTATATGAAAGATGAACAGGAAAGAAATGCTTGGAGAGAGTATGGCGCACACTGAAATTACAGGGTGTAGCCTTGAGAGTGTGAAACTATAAAGTGGACTGATTAACAAAAGTGATTAAAAACCAACAGGAAAATTAGCTCAAGTTTTCTTCTATCGATATTGCAGAATTCTGATTTGAAAATAAATAAATGAAAGGTAATTTAAAAATAACTACATCGAGGAGATCTGGAGGTGAGTCACTTTCTGCCTAGTGGGTCTTACCTTCTTACGCACCTGTTGCTCTTTGGCTGTGTGAGCTTTCACGTGCTTGCGCAGGGAGCTGGGGTCGGTGTAGCGTTTGGAGCAGCCAGGAATCTGACAGGCATAGGGTTTCTGTAAATGTAAGAAAAGGGAAAAGATTTCATATTCCTCTGCATCTCTAGCACCAGAGCACAGTGCTGAAGGATGGCTGTTTCTGTGAAACACAGTGTTAATTAAGGCTGAGCTGTTTGCTCTGTTTGCTGTTTCCAGGTTTGCTCTGTCTCCTCTATGTACAAGCCAGACATGATGCAAAGAGAAGAACTGCATTGATCGCTCTGATTTTGCACTCCATGCAGACACTGAGAGAATGTGACACATCTATACCCTGTCATGTTGGATACTGATTAGTGGGCTGACTTAAACTGTTAAACAACAACTGTTCCATATGCAGCAGAGCAAAACTGGTACAGCACACATTTGTTCCTGTTTGAATAACAACAGCAATATCTTTCTTTTTCTAACTCCTAACCAAACAACCTGCAGCAAACATTAACATCTGAGCAAATCAATACAGAAAGAAAAATCCACTATTGTTGATTTTGTTGGGAAGACCTGTCCAGCTGACTTTGGCACGCGGCAGAGCTTGCCACTTCTATGTGGCATAGTATGAGCCCTCTTTCCTGGGAAAACCATCTGGGTCTGGGCAGGCAGTTCCAGTACAATCCTCATAGGAAAATTAAAAAATAAATAAATAAGAATGCTCCAATTTAACTGCTGATTCTGGAGTCCCAATGACTGAAAGCCTCACCAAAATCTTCTCTTAGTTATTCCTACTCCCAACAAATGAAACACTGTCTCTCTGTTACAGTACAACCTCCAAATAAATGTGCAATTACCCAGTTGAACAAAGGGACTCTGGCACTTGTTATTAAGTAACCACTGACTTAAGTGATAGCAAAGTAGAGCTGCATGTCAGAGCTCACAAAGTTTTAAATTTAAGCAGAACATTCCTTTTTTCTCTATTTTCCTGCCTCAACTGTCAGCATTACCTTAGCCTTTTCACTTGGACTAGTAAGTTCTTTTGGTGTCTTCCCAAAGGTAGAAAACTGGTTTGTCATGACCTCAGTGTCACATTCTTTAATCCGTTTGGTTTCAGAAAGAGGATGCATGCACAAAAGGAATAAAAAACCCACCGGTTTTGGGAGAAGTGATTGTGAGGTCCTTTAAACAAGTTGCTCTACTCCTGGAGGAGTGATGACATGCCCTTCTTACCCCAGGGACAGATACGTTCCCTTTGTTCTGCTTCTACCTAGGAGAAGGATCTACTTCCAGATGATTTAGTAAAGATTTGTTCAAACTAGCATACACCAGTAAGTCTCTGAAATGATTTACAGATTCTCCTTTTGGAGAAGATAAATGATGGAGTGACCTACATTGAGAAGCTTTAAAACCAATTCCAAATGCACTCAATAAGGAATAAGCAGTCTATATAAACCCCTTTTCTTTGTAAGTACCTCCAGAGGGTAAGTATTTCTGCTCTGTCCAGCCAGCAGGAAATTTCTGAAGGAATAATAGAATCATTCACCAATCCATGACCTTACAGGCTAACACAGCACCTACCCAGAAAGTTACAGGGCAAAGCAGATTTATTGAGAGTGTCTGGAACACAGAGAACTGACACCTGAGAAAAAACTGTGGAAAACTTTAAAAAATCCCCTAGCAGAAAAACTAGCAAGAGTATTTTTCAAATAATTTATGTCATTCAAATTAATGATAGAATCCTTCAACTTAGTTTTAGGGCAAGTAGATGAAAATCTGACTACCCCTGAGAAGATGCACGGCTATTTGCTTTGACATCTCAGGCAGTTATTTTGTCCACTGAGCTAACGCAACGTGCAGTCTTTACAGCAGCACCATCCCGGAGCTCTGTTGTTTTTCACATTGACATAAGCACACAATACACTTAAGCTAAACCATCGGACTTCAATTAAACCAGGTAAGTGGAAGTTAGTAACTGTGCTGTAGGACTACAGAAACAGCTTTAAAAAACCTGCAATAGAACAGCATGGAGGATGTTTTTAGATATTTAAGAAAGTTAGTAGAAAATGATTACTGTACCTTTTTCCTGATTTATGAGCATTTCAGATAATAAAGACAGAGATAAAGAGAAAAGAAAAGAAAATAGAAAGTTAAGAGATTTGTCTTCAATAATGCACAGAACAACAGATATAAGAATTTTTGCTTATTTTGGTAATCATTTGAATTCTCTTTCAAAACTAAGAAATGGCATTCCATTTGCAACTTTGGCTAATAAAAAAAATGTATCTATTAGATTCAAGCAGTTACATTTCAAAACGGTGCACCCAATCTAGTATATCCACTTTCAAAGGAGACACATTTTAGAACTAATTACAAATTCAAATATCTCAGGTTGACTTTCAAATAAATAAAACATTGTTATTGTAAGTGTGCTTTGGTTTGGAAAATGTGACTGACTGGCTTCTCTTACTTGTTTGTTTTTGCAAGGAATAATGTACATTAGACATTCCTTAATGCTGCACTGTCTGAAATGTGTAACTGCTTAAAAAGTAAATATCAATTAAACTCCAAAGTTCTGCCCCATAAACACTTGGCCAAACATTAAACCATATATTCACTTCTTTGAAAAAGACAAAGGAACAACTCTGCCTGTTATTCTTTACAAGCTTTATGCTGAGGATTAACTGGTCTACAAAGTTGCCTACTTAGTTTCTTTCTCCACAGTATGGTGATTTAATTTTATCGGAGCCTAAGACACTAGACAGGCTCCCATCTTCTCTGCAAGACAAGTGAGAGACTTGCAGACTTGAGACAGAATCTACCAACTCTACATAAGAAAAGAATTCGTTTCTTACAGTTAATTCTGATGGTGGGCACTTAAGAAATTTGATATAGTTGTGAGACAGATGTATTTTTACCTTTACAAAATTAAGTTCAAAGCTGAGATGCATTTACCTTCCACTGAGGTGCCTGAACTGCTTTTGCATTCATACAGAACAGACTTTACTGAAGCAAGACAGGATAGGAAGCAAACAATGACACACATTGAGTACAGCAGCAGTGACTCAGCTTTCACTCATACTACACCTTATTCTACTGCTGCCTCCTCTTACTGGAACAAGAACAATGGGAGAGTTTGCTGAGTAACTTATTCCTGAGTAACCTATTCTTGAGTAACTTATTCCTCAGCATGAGTAAGACAGCTGAATTTGCCTTTCTGTGATCAAGGCTTTCTCATTTCTCAAAGCACCTACAATTCAAAACAAAAGTACAGTTGCCTATAGCTGAGCTTTCTGAGACGCTCGTCATGAAAAGTCACCCTCCAGTTGCAGAACAGATTGTGTACCAGGACCACTGGAAAACTCTGTGTGACTCCCAGTATGAAATCATGCTTACGGTATCCAGGTGTGTTCGCTGATGCTTTGCCCGGTCGCTGGAGTTGCTGAAAGCTTTCTGGCAGCCAGGATGCTGACACAGGTATGGCTTCTCCCCAGTATGACTCCGGAGGTGAATCTTAAGGTTCTCAAGCCTAGAAAACGCCTTGTTGCACCCTTCAAACTGAAAAATGTCATAAAAAAATGGTTGTAAAGTACTATTAAATAAACCATGTGCAGCCACAATGAGAACAGTGTAAGATCCAAGTTGGATGTGCAATAAATCAACCAACATTCAAACATCTGTTGAAATTTATGGATGAAACACAACATTTTGTGCTGTTCATTTAATCTGTCACTGAAGACATGGTGCGTAGCTCAATAATAATAATACAAGGGTTATAAATATCTCACAGGTTCTCCCTGAAGTACTGAATGCTTAAAGACATGGTGCCAGAACAGAAAATTTAAAGAAAGAACAAGTGTTCTGATGAGTTTTAGATGTTAACTGGCACAGGAACCACTGTGGGCAATAACAATTAGCTGCTACAGACAGAGAGCAAGAGAAGCTAATTGTGGTGGGGAAGAACCTGGTTTCAGATGTCTGAAATGCTACACCCTGGAGCAGATGAGCACGGACTATTACAAGAAGACCTGATCCATTTGAAGATCAATCCAAAGGAACCCCGCTGTTATTCTGCACCCTTTTATTTACTAGTCATGTCACTCAGATCTGTTCTCAGCACTTACACAACCAGTAACCTGAGCAATTCTGACTTCTTAAGCACCCGTTTCATTAGAGAACTCGGTAATAAAATGCTGCATAGCATTCATAACAGAAGTCACTGTTTCAAATTAAATCTGAATAAATAAATAATTAAAATTCCCAGCTCCTGGGCCAAGGGAAGGGTGTTTCGCATCGCTCACTGATAAGTTTCAGTGTTGCAGACAACGGGGGACTGCATTGGAGGCACTGTCTCTAAGCTGGGCTTTGGGAACTAACTCAGGTCAGCACAAATACGTGCACCAGCAAACCCACAAAATGCACTCAGACACTTACACACGTGCACAAACACTTCTGTGTGCACATACTCACCTGTGGTGGTGGGCACACACTTTGCCCACTCTACAGTGCAGCAGTGGCACTGCAGATCTTCTAGTGTCTCTATACAGGTAAAACCCTGGCTCCTCTATGATTTGAGATCTCAAAGAATGTATTTGAGAAACACAACTCAATTCACCTTCATATCAACACTCACAACAGTTTCCAAAGAAGGGAGGTGTATCTTAAACCCACTATTTCTGGAAGCCAGATTTTTTGGTATGATTCTTGCTCACAGAGTGAAATCCTGACCCTCACAAAATTAGTGAGTGTTTTGTCACTTCCTTCTGCTGATTCAGGATTCTGTTCAGCAGCTTTCCATTCACGACCTGTGGTTCCTCGGACAGCACCACAGAAATGACAGTCTTGCCAATCCCTGTTGCACTCTATTAGTTACACACGCACTCATATACATTGGTGCGTGCAAACTTCTGACTCGGCTGTTGCATCCAGCATTGCAGGATGCAATGGGAAGAGAGGGCAGATGCAGATGGAGCCTAGAAGATGCTGTAAACTGGAGGAACCCGATCTCCTGGTACCTGACAAATTTTAACTACTGATGGTCAACGTCCATCACCTCCTGCTCAGACCAAGGTGTTTTAAGCAGCTCAACACAGTGAACAAAGTGATCTGGATTCTCAAGCTAGCACTTCATTTTGTGGGCTGTGTTGGGTCTTTGCACGCAGATCAGCTCTGCACACTACACAGTAAGCACACCAACGCACTCCAACACACCAGTGCACTCCAACACACCAGTGTACTCCAACACACCAACGCACTCCAACACACCAGTGCACTCCAACACACCAGTGTACTCCAACACACCAGTGCACTCCAACACACCAGTGCACTCCAACACAGACGGTTTCCTGGCAGGTTTCTGCCTTTCCCCGCTGCTCATACGCGAGAGGATCACTATGGCTTTTACTAAATATTTACTCCCTGAGCAGATATTTAATCTGTCCGAAAGGCATATTCGGGTCTATGTGTGCAGACAACTATCTGATAAGTATATATTTCCACCTCTCCCCATCACAACTATCATGATAGATCCACAGAGTCACCTGGAAACATGCAGTCTATGGCTTCAGAAGTTTGTTTTTTGGCCATGACTCTTGTCTGAACACTTCAGCTGGTGCAGGGAGGAGTGGGAGTTTTAGAAGTGACCAAGCCACCAAGGCTTAAAAAGAAATAAACTTTCTTCTTAATCATCACTAAAAATCTGGCAAGGATTCAGAACGAAGCAATCTGAAATGTGCAAATATGCTGAAGTCCATGAAAAATAAAGCAGAGTTTGGCAAATCCATGGCACCAGAATCACTACAGTGACACTCTACAACCTGATCTTTCTTGTCTGCATTTTGTCTCAGGCCTGGAAGACCTGTTAGGTCACAGAAGTAATTTCTTAGCTATACAGTCATGAATGGAGGATCTTGAGCCTCAGAATGTTTTTCTAATGGATTACCAGTCCTCAGCTCCATATCTAAAGCCTAATGCAAAGTAGGAAAGTATGCAGAATAATCCAAACTAATTAAAGGTCCAGCTCCATTCTCATTGATGTCAGTAGCAAAAATGCCAATGGCAAATGTCCTAAAACATCTAAACATAAGCTTAATTTAAAACACATGAAAGCACATGTGTTTAAGAGTTTGCTGGATGCTGGATCGGCACTGCAGGAAGAGAAGGAACAGGCCCTACCATAAATGCTCAGAGCTACAATGTAAGCAGCAACACTCAAATAGGGGTTTATTATACATTTACTGTGGTCAACAGCCTTTTTTTGGTACTAATGCATAATCCAAAGGTCTAATGCCTGCAGCAGCAAGGTTCCTCCATCACCACGTATGCCTGGACTTTAAGGGCTTTCCTTTTTTATATTACAATTTCCTAATTTATATTATTTATATCATCCAGCTCTGTTAAGCTGGACAACAGATAGTGGGACAGTCGCAACGCTGTGATAAATTCATTCTAAACACATAAGGTTGGAGAATACACCGCCAAAGAGAATGAGATGACTCCAGCACCCCTATTTTCAAGGAGGCAGGGTTGATAAAGGGAGGGTTGGCTAAATAGGAAAAAAATAAATGGAAAAGGAGTCAGGGTGACAACCTTGCCAGCAAGTGATGGGAAGAGGGGAAGGGGTCGTACAAAGGTGAAGGGGACGTACAAAGGTGAAGGTGAAGGTGAAAGGCCTGAGAGGGAGGGAGGGAGGGAGGAAAGGAGCGCTTGCAAAGACCTGACAAGCTCGGGGCAGAGAGAATCCACTCAGATCTGCAGAAAGGTCTCCACTTTGAAGGACTCCAGGAAAACCTATTTCAGCTCTGTTATTTCTTGCTGGATCTGCTGACTGTCCCCCTTGCAGTTTTTCCCTAAATCCCTACAAGTCCATATGTGGAGACAGCACTGCTGAGGCCCAGCTGCCCCAAAGCGCGAGTGTCTCACCTGTGCAGTTGTACAAGGACAATACAACTTAACTGGGTTGCGGAGGAAACTGTGTTAGGATGACTTCGTAAGACAATTCTTGGGCTTCATTGCTCCTCACCAACACTTTTAACCCTTCTACCTTCCCTTGATATTTGGAGTGTATTTATATTTATATACACAGCAAACAGAACTACTACTGGATAAATGGAGCGCTCATTCTCCTTCTCAAATAGCCACCAGGAAGAGCCATCAATCCCAGAAATGTCTCAGCTTCAACTACAAAGAACAAATGTTCAATTTCCAAAGGGCTTTAGGATAGTAAGAGCTATTTGATGAACTGAGAAGGCCACTTACAGTATCTCTCAGACATCTGGCCCCAATCTGTCACTGCTTAATCCTACAATCTTAAACATTTTGTTGACGTTTGATGCCTGGGATAACTGTAACAAACGCTGCATGATCCTCAAAGTCTGTAAATGTCAACAGAGCTCTTAAACAAGTTCATCAATAAAAATAATAATTATATTGCAATTACTACTTTTGTCTTTACTGTGAGATTGTTAATGTGTGTTTCAGACACTGCTATGCTGCACACATCTGAGCACAGACACAAAACAATGCCACATGATCACAGTACATAGCATGATGCGATTACTGGATTTTATAACTACTGCTGCTTTTAGAATAGGGCTTCCACCAGGAAAAAATGTGTTCTAGAAATTTACAGGACTAAATCGGTTCACTACCATATGGAAATACATATGTTATCTTTATTTCACACTAAAATCTCACTGGAGTGTAACTGCTGTACTATCATGCATTTAAAAGGCATATTTATGAAAACACTAAATTATCTCACAGTGATCTAAACACATCACAATTTTCCTAACAAAACAATTTAATCTAATAACTGTAATTGCTTAAAATGCTTTTTCTTTGCTTCCACATTATATTTGGAATGTACCTGAGAATGTTGCCATGTAGAAATAACAGCATATTCCCAAGAGGGTTTATACTATCAAATGTTTACCATTTTCATAAGCGTATTTAATCACAGTCATGTCTACAATATCTGTCAGTGGTACAGATCAGAAGAAATAAACTATAAACTAAACAGCTCAGACCATAAGGTGAAGCAATAACTGACATTTTCTTAGGAAATGAGTTATGACTGAAAAAGAGAAGCCTTCACAGTTGTAGTGCTAAATAGGTCCAGTGTGCCATTAGAGAAAGCTCATTAATATACACCTCTGCTCTCTGCTGCAAGATCACTTAAACAAGCTGCCTTTTATTTATAGACCTAAAAGGGAAACAGCAGGTCATATTGGCTGCTGACATCTCAGACAGCCTACAGATGGAAAACCCAAAACATTTCATTCCAAAGCATTTAATACTATCAATAGGAAATCTTATGTCTGGTCAAAACATCTACAAGCCTTATGAACATTGTGAAATGTTCTTTCTTCCCAACTGATTACAAAATTGGGAAAATTTTATTGAAAAACATGTTAGGAGAAAAAGGATCCTGTGAGGATATGTATCCCTTCTGGAGGGGAGGAAATAGTCACACCACTCTTTAAATGGCATCAATGTTTTAAAGCACACTGAGTCTAATGTTGGGGACATGGCAGGAGGCGTATGAGGCCCCAAAGTTT